TTTTTTTTTGTAGAGAACATAGTCATTCCAATTAGGGCGAAATGTGAGGTGCACACCTTTACACGTAAGACAACAACACTCAGGAAAAAGCCCTGAATTTCTTTTCAATTTTATTGCACAAACTACTGCATTCTTGACAAAATTAAGCATTAGAAGGAATGTTTGGTCCTTCTTATTTGCAACGATTTCTCTTTTGTACCCAGTTTCATTGAGCAAGCCGAGAAACAGCTCTTTCTTTAGGGTACACACCATGAGCCAAGTGTTTCTTTGAGCTTCACTCGCAAAGAATTGTGGGTAACAGTGTATTTTTTCGACAGGCAGTACCCCACACTATTGAAAGTATTTTTTTAGTCATTCGGTCCTACCAGGAAAATTTCAAGCCGACTGATCATTTTAAAAGTCACAACTTGCCAAAATAAACATGGTAGATTGCGAAGTCAAGCGCAAGACGTCCAGGAAGTCCACTTCACTTCGATGGCGACTATTGAAATCAACGATTGATCGCCATTGTCTTCATGAAATCGCTTCACACTTGTGATTTCTTCGGAAATTTCGTCGGAAATTAATTTTTCCGAATTTATTCCTAAAKGGTCTTTATCCCGGAGTTGCYTCCTTCTAAGCACYACAACTTTCTTGCATTTCTATATCGTGTTGGTCATAGTGCCAGGCGGTCCTCATATTCATAACTTCAATAGGGTTTTTCCTGAGTATCTTCATTATTTATATTCGTGAATCATGTRCACAAATCTATCAGAGAGTGTTTCAACCCGTGTGTTTAACACAATGAGTAATGCATTTGTTGATTCTGAACCTGTTGTGTGAGTGGACCATTCACTGGAAAAAATATCGCACTTAYATAATATTTATACATCAAATTTAMAACTTTTTTAAAAGTGCGCGATTTTTTCCAGTTATTTGGGGTTTAAGATATGTRAATATTACTAATATTAGGGATCAAAGTAAACGCTTCCTTTCTTAGCAATCTTGTGATCAGAAAACCAKGTCTTAACAGCCSCTACGAACTCCTACCCCTMGAAGACAAGCAACAGCAACAACTAACATGTCTCCGTGTGAATTGAAAAATGCGCGAGCCTGGATAAACGCCTAGTAAACAATAATATCGTTTAAAAATCATTGTAAACAGATTATAATATTACGAAGATGTCAAAGTCGCATTTTTCTTGAATTTATAATTTTATTTATATTCGTATGTCCCTTAGTTTGTATTATCAGAAATATGATATTAAATGGATATGGTCCACCAGAATCCCTTTCAAGCTATTGTTCATGTTTGAAAATAAAAATTACATCATAATATAAGCAAAAACTTACTCTWTATTATCCCTTTATACTATGAATGGAGATAATGCAAGATTGGACCTTTAAACCGATGGATGGAAATGGATTGCGAATGGATATTCGAAGTCRCCTCATTTTCCATATATGAAAAATCTAAAACACGACCGCATTGAATGCTGGTGGACAATGAAAAATGAAGATCCACAGTCCTCAGTCCATGTCATAGACAGTCTCCAACAGTCTGGACGATTAATGCAAAATTTGCTACTTTCGCTTCCAGGTGTGAGGTAAGTACGTAAGTAGGTTGACAGAGGYAATGTCATAAGTCATTCTGCATTCTGCATTCTATTCAGTACCATCTTTTGTTAAACAAATAGGTCAACTTTAGAAAACCGGACATCGTTGAGAACTTATTGTTTTGCTTCGACGTCGAATGAAACACAATTGTCGAAAACAGTCCACTTCGACCAAGAGATGTACGCGCAAGTAAGGATATACATAGAACTTTTCAGTTTAAACCTTAGTTGTTGTTCGTGATGCTAAATAATTGTTCAAGTACGAGTTTAACTGTACCTGAAAGTAGCAGTTCTGCTCTTTGCTTCTTGTCCCAACCACTAGACTATGATCCCTACGACATGATCAATATTCCAGATTCAGTCAACCCGATTCGCACCTTTCTTTCTGTTGTCAATGGTGTAGCTTCTCCTCTTACAGTCGTTATAAACGCGTTGGTTGCTTGGTCTGTGTTTGGTGATGAAGATCTTCGATGCTCTTCTTTTAATCTCTTGCTGGTGGCTTTGGCGGTGACTGATTTTCTAGTAGGACTCTTGGTTCAACCGATCTTTTCGTTTTTCCTGATGTGTTTTGTGAACAAGYGTTATTCGCGTTGTACCTACACGCTTTATCTTTTGTCAGTCTTGACCTTCACTGGTCTCTCAGTTTGCACTTTAACATTAGTGAGTTTGGAAAGATACCTTGCTATTGAATATCCAAATTTCTACCGCCAGATGGTCACAACAAAAAGGGTCATGTCTGGAACGATAATTTACTGGGTAGTAAGTCTWRGTGTTTTGATSAGTGTCACAATTCTTGCAATAATCCAAAAGAGCAAACTTCTATTATTATCTCCATCAATGGTATTACTAGGTGTCGGTAATCTGGTCATTTTGTACTGCTCTATCAAAGTTCAACTGACAGCTTACCGCCAGCGCAGARCCATAGCAATAGATCACAAATCAGTTCAACAAGTCAACGAACAGCAACGTCAACAAGAACGGCTCAAAGAATACAAGCGAGTGTTCATGATGACCACATTAGTGGTCGTGTCGATTCTCTTTTACCTTCCTTTCATTATTGTCGCATTGATGCAAGCTGTCAAGGGTAAAGATGTCACGAGTGATTTTAAGTATGTTGCCATGGCTATCTGTCTCACATTACTTCATCTCCAGTCTCTTATCAACCCAATCCTCGTCTCACTGCGTCTWTCTTACATTCGAACAAGAATCAAAAACCTAAAACTAGTAAGCTTGTTTAGCTGGAGGTAATACAAGGCARTTTGATTTTAGGAAGCTAKGAATACTAATAACGTTATCTATTTTACTTGTCTACTGCATCACGATTTTTCTTTAAGACGTTTATTGAAAAATTGTTTAAAATTAAATAGGTAGCGGTTTTGCAAGATCTTATACGATTGGTTTACTATTCAAGACACGAACATCGTAAAAATTCCATACCCTATTCAAGACAAATTGGCAAAATGGATAACCCAGTTAGAGTCAGTTTCGTATGAGTGGGAAACGTACGGTAGAAATTACCGCACGATTATCGCACAGTTACCAGACCTGACTACGGCTACAGTATAGTACCGTCCGTTTCCCACTCATACGAAATTGACTTCAGTGTTCCCGTAAACACGTAAATATGCCATTGGTTTTTTCATTTTGATTTATAGTCTACTATAGATAAGTAGTGACACACTTTACAGGACATGGAGAATATAGAAAGTACACCCCCTACTCAAGACAACTGAGGGTTAACATGACTTATTCAAGACACGAAGGCCAAAAACCATACCCTATATCGATCCTTTTTTACTCAGTCCCCTTATAAAGCCAGTACAGAAGCTTACTTACTTAATAAAAATGACTCAAATGATGAGAATTTCTTCTCGGCCTTAAGACTTGTGGCCTTATGAATACTGMAGCGAGCCAATTACGGATAAAGAAGGGCTAAATAATTACGAAAAGAAGTTTCTGAGAAGCATAGGGGAACARAGATGCTGAGTATAAAGTTCTGTACTYGCTGTATAAAAGGACTGAGTACCGGAGAAAATATGATAGTTGTGAAAAAGTATAGAAAATAAAATGTGTTACCTTTCTGATAAATCTTCAAATGGATTTGCTTTGCTCTGCGAACATCGCTTTCACAGTCACTAAATGATACAGTTTTCTCTGAGTATAAAACGAGTGCTGATTTGATGAAATCTGAATCCATCTGGATTCAATTAGTGCTTGTGACATCATAATCAGGYGGATGACGTTTTTGATTACGTAATGTAGAACGCAACAGGAAGACGACGCAGCATAACAAAARATTATTTTTTACATTAAAGCAATAGTAGCACTAACTTAGTATTGTAGAATAGCTAGTTTTCGTTTTAAAGGCCAATCCGAAGTATTGTATTGCACACTCTACTGCGCACAATTTTGACCTRCGAGATAGAACGTGGTGTCAGCTAGCAGACCTWGCGCGCGCTATTTTTCTTTTAGGGAATGATATTGCGCTCGTAGGAATCTAGTGCGACCTTATAATATAATAATGTAAGCCCTTTATTGTCAAAGCTATCAGTATTTCTAAAAAGATTCTACTTTAAAATCATGTTTACAGTGTATGATATTTTATTTGAT